GGTGTGCGGCGGGGGGGCCCAGCCTCGGGGGAGAGGCATGGGAAGCCTGTCCTTGGAGCCAGGCTGGCCCCGGGAGGGCAGGCCCTTGTGGCCGGATGATGCTGTCCCTGCCACTGCTCCTCTCCAGCCCAGCCAGGGATCCGGATCAGGTCTGAGCTGCATTTTGGTGCTTTCCTGCAGCCACCGCTGCCCCCTCCAACTCTGCTGCCCTCGGCAGCCTCCTGGTGAGGCCCAGGACGGGGCGAGCATGTCGCCTGCTGGGCTGTGACCCTCTCTGGGGCCAAGGGGAGGAGAGAGCCCGGTGCCCACACCCAGGTCAAAGCTCCCTCCTTTCGCTCTTGCCACCACAAAATCAGCCTGGGGGACACTAGCCCTGCTGGGCTCCTCGCCCAGGCCAGGGGCTGGCGTGTCCCTGCTGCCACATCCACCAAGGAGAGACTTCCCTCCGCATGGGATTTCCATATGCTACTGAAAGCACGCATGTTTGCTGCTGCCCTAAAGTCTTGAAGGACTTTTATTACCTAAAAAACTCACCCTGCCAAAACACACTAAGAACTAACTCTCTGCCTTTTAAGATATATAAAGGAATCCATCTGACATCTGCATTATTCGCAGAAAAATCTGAAAACATTCCTGAGATTTTCTTCAACGAGAAGAATCAGGCCAGAAGCAATTGAAATCTATTGGTAAACTTAGGCGTTTCTTGTATGTGTATACACGCACAATTTCAGTTACCAGCAAATGAAATAGATAAAAATACCATTAATTATCTGATGATATATATGATAATTGCATTATCTCTGCAGAAAAGAATTCTTCACTGATTCACCAGCTGTTTTCCTACATTCTTACCTAGCATCACAGAGTTCCTGTTTGGTTAAGTCCGCATGCAAATTCAGCAGTTCTATTGGCTTACCCCACTATAATGATTTTTTTTTTCTTTCAGTTTGGACAGCCTCAAATCTAGTATATTTACACAGTCATCAAAGCAGTCAGAAAACTGTTACTTACCAACTGATGTAAGTCCATGTTTTATAGATTCCTGTATGTTGGCTGTGTGGGAACTAGAAGACATTATTAAGTACAAATACACAGTACCCTCGGGTGCAAGGGGTACAGCATTGAGTACAGAAGAGGTGCAGCCTGTAAACTTTTCTGGCCTTGAGAGCCAGGCTATAATAGCCTTCAGTGAAAGTCGGTGTGATGAACAACAACAACAACAAAAAATTATCCAAGAATTCAGAAAGTAACAAGCATGTCTTGCAGTGGACTCTGTACTTTTTCCAGCATTAGTGACCTGCTGTAAACCATGTATCCCATTTCATGATACTCTCTAATCAGAAGAATTGGAACTTGCGATAGGTTTGGCATCATCACGTGGTGTTGTACAGCTTGATAAGAGGACCCTGTTATAAAGTGACAGCAAAAGAGATAAGAACTCTTGGCAGATAATGGCAGAGAAATGATTAACCTGGAGTGGAGAGGTGCTATGAAGCCCAGAGAGTGGAAGGTTGTAAAGTTGTGGGGTCATAAGATCATACCGAGTGGATGAAAAGCCATACCAATGTAAGAGTAACGACTCTAAACTCAGACTTGTGACCCGTGTTCGCGATGTCATCACCTCTTTGCACAGTGGACAGCAAGCACGGTTGTTTTGGCTTCTGTAAACACTCTGGGATGGCAAAACAAGCAAACACTGATTCCTCAACGGAGGCCTATGAATGCGCCTGGGATTCTCCACCCTGAGTTACAGCATGAGCAAATCTCTGCTGATGGTTTTGTCAGACGAAACCAGTTTATTGCACCGACCGCTCCGGCCCGAGCCTCGCTGCGGGCTGTTTGGACGGCAGCCATTTAGCTGAGAGCGTGCACCCTTTTCTCAATAAAGCGAGAGCTTTGCAGCGTGGTTAAACATTGATACCCCGGGATTATGATGCATGCACAGTTTGTGTTCACCTCTGGGGCCGTGTAGGTGCAAAACCTGTTCAAATGGCTGTCGAGAGCGTCTTGCTGGGAAGAAGAGCCAAGAAGGGGACAGCTGTGCAGATCATAGGGTGATTTTTCCACATGGCTGTGAGTGGGGCAAGTCCTGCTCATATACACATCAGTGGCAATGCAGGGGCACGTCAGGACTTTAAATGTCACCGTGTGGAGGTTGTGGCTCTTTCAGTGCCAGCCGTGGCTACTGGGGCCCATTTCTCTGCTTTCTCCTCTCCTCCATCATTTCAGCTGCAGCCCGGTAAACTCAGCCCGTATACACCTGGTGGGGTCAGACACAAACCTCAACAATCGGCTGATATTTGATATTTCAAGTTGGGCTAGATATTTCACTGTGGGCTAGATGTGAAGCTTCTTGAAGTCAGTGGGAGTTTTTCCTCCTGAAATTTGCAGGGGGCTGTAAAGCGGCACGGGCTCTTTCATACACCTTGTCGCAGGAGTTAGACTTTGCTGGTAAGGTGAGAGGCTGGTTAGCTGGTGCTCACACTGAGTGGCTTTTCAGGCTTCACCTGGTCGGACCCAGAGGCAGAGAGCATGGTCTGTGCATGGGCTGATGCAGGAGACCATGCCAGGACTTTCTGAGGCTCGGGCTTGTTCTGTGCAGTGGTGCCCCCTCGATCGCTTCGCAGGCTTGTGGCATTTCCCAAATTCTTAAGCAATATCTGCATGAGCTTTGCTTGCCATGGCGGAGTGTATAAACCACATATTTGCTCACTCAATTAATGAGTCACACTCATAAAAGCTCATTTTGCTAATGGTACCTGAGGCAATTTAAATCATAAGGATTTGTGCACCCAAAACTTAATTTTGTTTTCCTCTTTTCTTATACTTGTAAGGTGAGTATACTTCCTCATGGCAGCATTATGAATATTAATGTCTTAAAAAGCTTAAAAAGGCTTTAAAGGGAAGACCTGCTAGGTAAATTTATCTTCCTATTTATTACAGAAAAAAATAATTTAGGAGTCTGGTTAAATAGATACTGTGGGTCTCTCTTCAAGTTCACTGAACTTTCTTTATCTACTGAAAGCTGGAAGCCAGCTATTGCAACGAATTTTATACAAACCTAAAGAATTTGATGCTCTGTTTTGATTCATTTGATGATCAAATACATTTGAAATTCAATTCATACAAAATAAGAACAATTCTTTATTCCATCAGAAAAAAAACAACAGAAAAAAATCCATATGTCTTTGGGGACTAGGGATAAAATAAAAGAGAAATGCTGCAAATGATACTGTGGTTAGAAACTTTCCACTGTGTCATCAGAGACATTGCTGAAGCTCTGCTGGCCCATATACAAGATTTCTATGAAGGAATCTGCCGTCTGTGGGGGAGAAATGTACTAAATCATAAGAAATATAAAGAAGCTTCATGCTTCTGGCTTCAAACACTGCCATTCCTTCCCTTTTTTTGAATCAGTATCAAATGTCAAGGTCATTTAAAAATGCTCTTTTTTTTCCTCTTTTTGCTACATGGTGTCCATTGGTAGAAGAATGCATGCTAGATGCATAACCACACAGATTTGCTTTGCTTTCTTTTTACCCAGTCCAATGCGGGAAAGGAAATTTACAGGAAAACTTCAGGGCAATCTCCATCAGCCTAGGATCCAGCCACTCTCTATATTTAGCAGTCAACTTCTCGGGCCCCACCTGAGAAAGCTACAGAAGGATGTGTGCAACGTTAGGCTTGGGAGCTGTCCTACTGAAGCTCTGCACATTAACTACTGGATTAGTGGGTTTGAATCGCAGCCTTTCTGCACCTGCTAAAGCAGTCACTGGCCTTACCGAGAGCAGCTTTTCCTAATGGATCATGGATTTTCCGAGCATCATGGATTGAAAAACATTTACTTTTTTTTTTCTTTTTCTGCCAGTTCTCGTATGATGAAATTGTCCCTTGTTTGTCCCCCAGACAAATGCCCTCAAAGAAAATGTACCTGAGTTCAAAAGCTTGGCAACAATCCCTCCTTTGACTCTTGCATATCAAATTATTTTGCAACCATTGACCACAAGTAGTAGTTTCTCCTCCAGTGGACGTTTTTGCTCCTATCTTTTCATTTGGGCATGTAAGGATAGTAAGATGCAAGCTCTGGAAATGGATTGACAAATGAACAGTGGCCTTTTCAAAGAGTTTCAATGCTTCATTACATATGCATGTGCAAATTTAGTGAGGTCAGTCTTGAGTCTGTTGTTTTCCTTTTGCATATTGCTCTTCTGAATCTGGTGTGCACCTCATCATCTTCCTGTGCCATTGCAAGGGACTATCGACTTTATTGTCAACACACCTCAACAAAGCCAAACATTCAGCCCAGCACACTTCAAACGAGGGACATGGTCCTCATTCTCCTGAAAGGCCATGGCAAATGTGGCATTGACCCAGCACAAAGCCTACCAGACATGAGCTGAGCGACCCCCTCTTAAGAGTAGTCCAGCTGGTGTCAGGTGAAGATTTATTTAGGTGGAAAGAGATTTATAAAC